GCATACTCATCAACCGTCACTGAAAGGCCGAGTCGCTGGATAAGCAAACTTACCGCATCTTTTTGGGACCTTCCCATCATCATCTCCTTCAACTCCCAGGTAAAGTCATGCCCAAACCTTTCAAGCGTTTTCTGGTTGGCGATAGTATAAAATTTTTCTGTATCCAACAAAAGGCCATCGACGTCAAATATCACATGGCTTACCGGATGAAATGCTGACATGTTGCATAACGATGACGAAGCGATTTGACCAGAGTGGAACGGAAAATTCACTAAATATATAAAATATGAAAAATAACCATATTAAAAAATTAAGAAAACAACATTGCATTAAAAATTGGGGTGATCATGCGATTTATGCAACTTCATGTTCGATCTTGAATGTGCACTAGTCCATCACCTCAAAATTTTGAGCTCTCGACAAGTCTACATGCAGGTCGTAAAGAAAGGACAGGAGTAACAAAGTACCGCATCCACCTATGCTTAGAGGTTGTTGTTGCTGTCATCGTCATATGAGGTATGAGGGTCAAAGACTGAGTACCCATATAAATAATGATTGACGATTTGGATTCTCAGAACGTTTTACGCGATGTTGGTTGTTGCAGCAAGAGTCATATTCTTCATCGCAAGAAGTAGGCCTCTAGCAGTTTTTTGTTTTCTAGAAGAGAATATTTTTGAATAAGTTTCCATTGCCTCTCCAGATTGTTCCAAGACATACGAAACCAAGACATACGTCAGTTCCTGATTTCTTCAAACAGCATTCTCTGGTCGGTCATCTTCATGATTTTTTCTCTCTTTGTCCGATGGAACCATCGCGCTTTCACGCCGTGAAGTTCGGTTGTACGCCACTACATGACTGGGTAAGAAGCCAGGTAGAACCAAAAGTCTGTCTAATTACCTGACGTTAATCTTCCACATAAAGGCGACATTCGTACCGCTGACGAAACGACTGAACAACTAAGCAGCAGAATATGCACCGATGTGACTTATAAATCCACAGTATTCCCCTTGGTTTCAAGTTGGACTGTGAAGCATAAGGATAAACAACAAAATCATGACAAAAAACTACTAAAACCTCATACAATCGAAGAGTACATCTGCAGTCGATGCGAGAGCAGTTAAAGTATTAAGTTT